ACTTTCTCGCAAAATTTGTCAAACTGATTGCTGGTGTATTCAGGTCCATTATCTGTTATTATAGTCTTTATCTTGTAGTCACTCAAGGTTCCTAAATTTCTGAAATATTGCAGGCACCTCAGACTTCATCTTAAGGAAGTAAACACAACACATTCTATTTAAATCATCAATAAATAAGAGAAAGTATCTGCTGCCATTCAACATTGAATTTTTCATAGTGCCACAGACATCAGAATGGACCAACTACAGCTTGCTTTGTGCTTTTCTAAACTGTTTTTTAGGAAAAGGCGGCCTAGTTTGTTTTCCCAATTGACATATATCACAAACACAAACATCATCACTCACTTTTGGCATTTTTTCAACTGACTCTAGTTCATTCAAAATTTTGAGTAAAGTGTAATTGGCATGCCCAAAACATTTGTGCCACAATGCAGATTCAACCAATGTACTAGTAAAGGCATGAGAGTTAACATTCTTCCACTCCAAAGGAAAACTCCTATACCTCATTTCTACTATCAACAATTCCAGATTGTTTTGATCCAAATAGTGCAGCAGTTATCCTTAACTATTAAGGTGTAGTTCTTTTCAATCAATTGGCCAACACTAATTAGGTTTTGATCAATGTTAGGCACATACAAGACATCAGAAATGAACTTATTACATGTTGGCATCTGCACTGTGACTTTGCCAATTCTTTTCACCTCCACATACTCTCAATTTCTCATTTTCACCTTTGATCTGTAAGCATCATTTAACTCCACAAAGATATCTGAATTTGAAGTCATATGGTGAGTGCAGCCACTGTCAAATAACCAAGTTTCAACCCTGTTGGAAGCTGTGTAGTTTATGGCTGAAATAGATGCTCTTCAGACTGATCTTCTGCAACTTTGGCCTGCTGCAACTCCTTTTTCTCCTTTTGGTTCTTGTAGACTTTTTCAACATTCCAAACTGCTTGCAAGACATGCATTGCACACTAGGTCTGAACCAGCACCATTTGGGAGAATGGCCTTTCATTTTGTAATGAAGGCATGGAAGATACTTAGTATCCTTGCCGAAGCCTTTTAGCTTCTACTTCTTTCTTCTCATTTTGTGCTTTCTTCCCGCCAAAACTGGTTTGAGCTTTCCTTTTTCCTTTTACAAACAGAGCTCATTCAACCTACTCTTCCTGCCTGATCAATCTTCTTTGTTCTGTTGGCTTGAAGAGCATTTACAAGTTCAGTTAAGGAAATGCTAGCCAAGTCCCTAGAGTCTTCAAGAGAAGAGATCTTGGATTCAAACTTCTCTGGCGGACTTATCAAAACCTTTTCCACTACTCTCTTGTCTGGTAAATTGTATCCTAGTGGGCTTGATTGATTAACTGCCCAATTGATATCAGGATTCAACTTAACTCTCACATATGATTGAGGTCTTGGGTTCGAATCCTGGGGGACGCGTTAGAAATTCGTGATGGGTAAAATAGGCCTAGGCTCTCCCAAAATGGACAGTATGTACGATATGATGACGGCTTCGACATTTTTTTTGTAATGACCCGACCTTGCGCCGAAATCGTTATCATATCTTACGTATTGTCTGCTTTGGGAGATCCTAGGCCCATCTTACCCTTCACGGATTTATGACGCATCCCCCAGGATTCGAACCTAAGACCTCTATCATATGGGAGACTTAAGTTGAATCATGGTACCAATTGGGCAACTTTTGTAACAACCCGACCTTGCGTCGGAGCCGTTATCATATCTTACGTATTGTCCGCTTTGGGAGGGCCTATGCCCATATTACCCCTCACGACTTTCTGACGAGTCCCCCAGTATTCGAACCCTAGACCTCCATCATATGGGAGACTTAAGTTGAATCCTGGTACCAATTGAGCAAGTTGTCCAATTAGTACCAGGATTAAACTTAAGTTCCTATATGATGGAGGTCTTGAGTTCGAATCTTGGGGGACGCATCAAAAAGTGGTGAAGGGTAAGATGGGCCTAGGCCCTCCCAAAGAGGACAGTACGTACGATATGATGACGGCTCCGGTGCAAGGTCGGGTCGTTACAAAAAATGCGCTTGCCCAATTGGTTCCAGGATTCAACTTAAGTCTCTCATATGATGGAGGTCTTGGGTTCGAATCCTGGGGGACGCGTCAGAAAGTCGTGAGGGGTAATGTCCCTAAGCTCTCCCAAAATGGACAGTACGTACGATATGATGTCGGCTCCAACACAAGATCGAGTCGTTACATTATAACCCTTGTGAAAATGGCATCTGAGACGGCTTATTGTATGCAAGAAAGGGCCTTAAACTTCTTGGCTATTTCTTCACAATGCTGCTTCAACTGAGCAATGGTTGGATTAGCTAGCCCTCAATGGTGGTGGTTCAACTCCATTTTCTAGATTTTCCACAAATCATACGCTTTCAGATAGGCTTTCATTTTTGCAGCCCAAAAATCATAATTTTCTCCAGTAAAAACAGAAGGTAATGGGGCAAAAAAACCACTTGAAGCCATATAACTCACCGAAAACACTCGGCTATATATGAAGGTTACTCACTGGTTTTCTCTATAGCTGCTGGTTTTTTAGCTTCTTCAAAGACCTATAAAAGCTCTGATACCACTGATAAAATATATACACAAAGAGGAGAAAAAACAAATCTATTAGTTAAGTGCCCATGATGTTTGTAGTTTGTGGTTTCTGACGATGAACGTTGTTTATTGGAGGTTGCAATGTTGGTTTGTTCCAGGAGGTTATGTGGTTGTTGTGGTGGGGTGGGTTGTGTGTGATGGTATTGTGGTTGATGCCACGGTGGTGATAGTGCCGGTGGCATATTTGAAGATTTTTTTGTGGGGGATGTGGTTGTGGAGTAGTATGCTGGTAGTGGTGTTGGTTGCAGTGTATGAGATGACGATTTCACTTCAGGGGATGGTGGTGGTGATTCTGGCTACGGTGGCTTCCGCAGCGATGCGGTTGTAAAGGTTGTCACAAATGATGTGATTGTTTGTTATCAATAAATAATTATGATCAATAAAATAGATAAATTGTCACACCCCATTCATATTAATAACCATACACTAAATTCTATCAAAATCCCCTATTATTATATTTTTTTAATGAAGGCATCTCCAAAAGTATATTCGAAACCAAATATCATAAAATCATAGTCCACCACATTTATTCTGAGGTTATAAAAATATCTACATGTCGTTTCAATTTTCATCCAAGATTCCCAAAATATAATACAACTGAAGCCCCCAAAATAACACTACAGGT